ACGAGGCATCTTTTATCATGGTGCATCTCCTGCAATTCATCTTTAACAGATGTGACGAAACTCTCTCCCCCCTCTGCCTCTTTCACAAATCCAGCGTTTCTCTGTCTTCATCTCTGCCTTTGTCTCTCCAGCTTTCTCTCTCACTCACATACATATTGTAAATATTTATCTAATTTCTTCTCCTTAATTCAGGTTACCTCAGGACACCCACTAGGCACAGAAAAGAAGACTAATGCTTTCAGAGACTAATAAAACAAACCTGTTGGGGGTGGTAACCATAGTGAGCCAAAGAAATGCAGACCTGCAACACAGTAGAGTTGGATTGTGAGTTTATTTCCCCATGCTGTCCATCAATTGGACTGGAATATGACCAGACTCCAAGTCTCTCTGAGAGAATATAAAGCACACAGAGATTTCTTGGCCAAATGATTGGACATTCAGAAAACCCAAACCTTAATTCTTGTGTGCAACAGTCATTTATAGCTTCAGGATTGCTCAATAATGCATCAAAACCCACAGGCCTCCAGGGGAAGCAGTCAGTAATCAAAAAGTAAGTTAAGGTTTTCATAATAGGGCCCTATAAATAACTGGGGACAGAAATGAGGGCATGTAAAATTGATGAGGGATGATTCAAACCCCACGAGGTGGAGGGAGCTTAACGCAAGGAGAAGGAATGTGATGTTGAGTGGCCTGGCGATATGGGCATGTGAAGAAGATGAATTGCACAAGTGATTTGTGTCACCAGTGTCACTACATAACTGCACAGATATATGGACATCATTCTAGAGGCACTGTCTTTGAAATGGCGCTATCAATGTAGAAATAGGCTTTTACTGCACATTTCAAACAATCTGGCAACGCTTGCATAACCTATGGCTACCAATTAGAGCAGAACCTTCTTTCTAAGTCTGTGTATTACATCTGTTCCACAGAAAAGCCTTAAAAAAATGTTCCTTGTGTGTTCTGTACAATTTTATTATTCCATGTAATCTATACCAAGATCTAAGTTTCATGTTCAATATTTTTTCAACTGTGATTCAATTTTATATATTTATCTTTTGTTGCCAATTGTCTACATGTGTCTGATAAAAGAAGTGCAAGGGAGCACAGAACTATTTTTTTCCGCGTTCATTCCAACTTAGTTCAAGTGAGAGACAGAGTGCATACAGAAACATGACTTTTTGAACTTTAAGAATATGGGTTGAAATGAGCACCTAAAACAAAACTCCCACACATTCTTTCAGAAATGTAAAAGATGGTGCACTTGAACTTCTGCATCTTCTGCAGGAGTTCTGCTGTGTGCCTTACACTAACGTCACTCTTCTGTGTTTTGAAACTAGGTTTAATGAGGCCACTCAAAGCATAATCTTTAAAGAAACATATTCCCTCGACGTTAAATAGACACAATCTTGTAATCTTTTACCTCGAAATGAGGATTCATTAGGATGGCTTAAAGAAAAGAGATAGTGGTTGTCATATTGTCAAAATTAGATGGAAAACAGTAAGAAACAAAAGAAAAACAACTGAAGGTAAACAATAATAGGTCACACAACAGTACATAATTACTCTTACTACCGAAGGTTTAGTACAGTAGCCCTTTGATGTCCCAATAAAGTTTCTTTTGCCCCTGATTCCAATATGAGTCCTTTAATATTGAGTGTGTGCGGATACCGAGTTCGATCCAGTATTTCATTCATTAAATGCCGACTGAATATATATCTGACACATTAAGCGATTGTAGCCTACTTAATCCAACACACCTTATTTTTTTCATGAGCTTCTTGATCCAAATGCTGAAGAGCCTGGTTCTAAAATATTAAGCTGTAAAGCTTAAATTAATGATATGATGTGAATGAAAGTTTTATTGCAGAATGTGACTGAAATTGCCGCGACACAATCAACTAGAGCGAAGACGGATCAGTCTGTTGGCGTTGTGTGAACTAGAGAAACACTCACGGTTGCGTTACAGAGTTGAGCTTCTTCCCACACAAACCATCTGAGGTCCAGTGAAGACAACGGCTGCACGGAGCACTTTAACCCGACTACAGACTTATTTTGCCGTCATGTTTCTCACTGAATTAATTACTGACAGCTGATATGGCCTGCCACCAGCAATGGTTGTCATTTTAACAACTGTGAAAGTGACGGTCTGCGCTGGTTAAAAATGACGCCCTGAATATACAGTATGTACGCTGGTCTTTGCTAATGAGAAAGAGAGATTTGTTAGCATTTCGCCAACATCAGTGTCTTTAATCTTTTACATTCACATGCTCCAATTTTCCCTTGCATATGCAGGAAATGCTTGTACCGTGGGCTGATATACAGTAAAGGAGAGCAGTGTTGCCACACTAGCAGGCAGATGTGGAGAAGTCACAGTGGAGAAAAGAAAGGATCAGAATTTGATCTGCTTTATTTCAGCAGATATTGGATGATCCTTAGCATTGGCTCGGGGCATCTCTAGTAACCTTGCATACTGTGCATAACAGTGAAACCAATGATGCTTACCTTCGATATATCTCTTATTTCAATAGAAGTAGTTTTAAATAACTAAGTCAATGCTTCTGACATACGTAGTTCGAAGTTTTCTGTGTAAATGAATACATCTTCACATTCATCATGAACATTAATGGAAATAACACTGTTGTTTGTGATTCAAATGCACGTTTTAACATATATAGTGTGATAGGATATATTGTATTATCTAGATTCTCCATTCAAGCCCTTCAGCCTTTCTATAAATATCCCACTGATTAACTAATATTGCCATTTAAAACAAAAGCAATTGAATCCGACTCTACCTGGGAGATGCAGGTATTGTGCTCAGTTGATTGCCAACCTGACAGATGGATCATTTAACACTCAGTAGTGACGAATTTGAAAGAAACTATTGTTGATTGTTTCTGGCCAGGTAAAACGCTCATCTCTCTTATTCCAGCTATATCCTTCCTGCTGCCGGTACTCAGTTTTCAGTTTGTATCACACTTGATATCACATAAAGAGAAAAAACAATGAGTGGATTTTAAACTCATTTGGCAGTTTGCCAAGGACTGATTCAATATTTATTGGCGTCACTTTTTTTCATATTGAAGGCCCTGCATAACCCTCTACCATCTGCACATAGATATTACTTCACATTACGTTGTAGAGTTACAGATGTCTGAGATACAGAAAAGGCTCATTGATTTTTCTGCTACTTAGGGTCACGGCTGCAAATTCACTGATATTCTTGAAACAGAATGTAAGACAAATTTGGTATTCACTGTCAATAAAAACGTTTTGTCAAAAGTAGACACTTTGATGCTATGCTATTTCTTTGAAGCAGCTGTTATGCTGGTTTTCATGTGTAAACATGTCATCTTTAGTGGTTATTTGCATAAATAATTGCAATTTTATTAATACAAATATTTATTTTGTTAAATTAGTACTTTGTATCAAATATTACCAGCTGCTAGTGTTATAATAGTGTTATAAATATAATAATGTAACTATAAGCTTTATACTACACAATCTACATTCGCAAAAGAAAAAAAGAAAAGTTTAAATTCTTTTCACTTTCATATCAAGAATGTGTGACGTGCTCACCTCACCACATGTTGCTTACAGCGTACGAGTAAATGTTTCCAGCTAAAAATATTTCATACTCTGTCTGTTAAACTGTGTAATTAATATGCGGTTCACATGTGTGCCTGTGTACGGGTCACAGATCCACTACCTACCTAATTACTGCTAACTGTTACACCACCAATACAAACCTGCGAGAATTTAGATGTACGTATATAAAAAAGATATATATATGACGAGTGGCATGAAGACACTGTGACACCTTGATCTAATAATGTGCACCATGATTTTACTTTTACAGACAACTTTGCATTCAAGCATGCAGAACGGCAATAACATTTATTCAACAAATGTCTTGTTCTGTCAGTTTGTAAATAAATTCACAGCGCCTCCTTTGTGACAAGTAGCACAAAGCACCATCTCATCGTGCAATGCTCCATGAGTCAGTCAGAAAAAATATATAGTCTAAGTCTGTGAGTGTTGAACAACAGAAATGATAGCTAGTTAGACTTGTGAAAGTTTCATGAGGTAGCTGGTGGTGTGAGCCAATGGAAAGAAAACTCACAAACAAGTTCACTGTACTGAGGAAGAAGAGGACCAAAATGTATGAAAAGAAAACATTCTCTCACATCATTAATAACAGCCAGTCATTTTCAGTTTGACAGTGCTTGTGTGGAAAATATTTACTTAAAGTCGAAATGTCTGGGATACAAATAAATATGTATGTCAGCAGATATAGCTTACCGTCAAACTTTTTATGCCTCGAGACAAATGTCGTCCTCATATTGCGGCTGCTCTCATCGACCAAGTTCTCGAACTCCAGTTTGCTCTCCTGGTTGAGTTTGTCCTCCATCTCGGCTGTGCAGCAGGTGTATCCCTGGGGACAGACACGCAGGTGCTCACCTGAGGGAGACAGAGACAGAGACGTTTTTTTACACCCATCACTGCTGCAGGATTCGGTTTTTCAAAAGGATGAGCTGACTCTTTGATCAGAACTCTCCTGTGATTTTGGGACTCTCATCACCGAAGCTATCAAAGAGGGACAGACCGTAACAAATGGGGAAGGATAATATTTGTCGGTACCCTGCTATCGTGTGAAACAGAGAGAAACGTAGATATAGCAGTGCATACACCTCATGCTGGATTTTCACTATATATCAGTTCAAAAGCACTGTAGTAATGGCAACTGAGCTCATGTACATGAATGGCAGTGAATTCAGAAACTTTATTCCCGTTTCTAGGAAGTGTGAAGGCTATACCAATAGTAGACATGTGCCAAAAATATCTGGACAACTGCATTCATTGATTTTTTTTATTTTTTTTTTTGGTCACTTGGAACCAACACAACAAACAGTAAACAATATGCTAACCCCTTTCATACTACAGTCATCGCACCCATGTAATACACTATTCAAATATATTTTAAAAAGGATTACTGCAGCTTTAAGCAGGAATATTAGAATTTCAGAATCACCGCGTGTGCTCCAGTGCTCTCTCGTATAATACCAGAAAAATACACTCACGAGAGTGCAGATCTTCGGTGCGTCTGCAACGACCACTGCTGTATTGTGTGATTGAATGAATACAACTCACAATTGGCTGACTCCCCTTTCAGATACCAGTGGTCTATATGGCATCGTAAAACACACTTAATTCAAATAACAACTGACAGTTATGAGAAAATGAAAGTGAGTGAGCTTCCAAAATCAATCACGGTCAGAGAACCCTGTGGTCTAAAATGGCCCATTTACAAACCAATATATAACATAGTTCTATTCAAAAATATTTTAGATTACAGGATCTAGTTTGTTGTAATTTCTGTCAAAAAGCACTTTGTGGTAAAGTTATAACTGTGTGCAGCTGGAACTCATGAGACTCATGAGAGCGTATGGTGACAGACTTGGGGACTCAATCATGGACTTGTCAGTCAGAAGAGAAGACCAATGAACAAAAAGCAAAAAGAAACAAACTGAAGATTGAGATTGCAGTTACTGTGTAAACATATGAGAGTGCACTGATCATTATACGTATTTTTTCAAAAATATATTTCCTGGACAGCAACATTTGCGGAGCCGGCAAAGATGTTGCTAAAAAAAGGCAGCCGTAGTGCAACTTCTTTGGAAAATAATTACCTGTCTTCGACTCGTTACTGATACATACAAATAGAGCAATTTTAGAGGTGCCACATTTGCATACTTGCTGTATAATCTTCCTTCTGCTGCTCTACATCTGAGAGCATCAGACATCATTATCAGAGGTTGAGTTTAAAAAAAAGTCTGGCCAGCAGTCGAATGAAAGATTTGAGTTTTGAGAGTTTTGTTTTTTTTCAGTTCTACCTATTAACTTTTAAGGAAGAGACAGAGAAAATGACTGTCGCTGCACTAGTGGTGGATTGGTGCAGAAGAGACTCAGACTGTGGGACTTTTTTTTATGTATTCGACTACACAATGCAAGTCTTGACAGTCCCACTGTTGAACTGCATGCATATACAGTAAGCTATAGATGAAGGATCTCTGCATGGATAATGAAACAAGGAGGACGCACTATGTACGTGTTGGTACTCTCAAATGTGCTTAATCCTTAATCAGTCCTTAGAGAGGCACCAAGCTGCAGTAATGAGGTGCACCATCAACAGTTCAACACCAACCTATTGTCTCTAGAGTAACGAACAAGCCTCCTGGCCACTGAGACCAAACTCTCTAAAAACAACAAAATAAGCTGAAATGCAGAAGTCGATTTCCATTCGGTGATTCTTTAAGACTCTTTTGTTCCTTTAGTAAACGACAGTGCTGTAATCTTTTAGCAGCGCAACAGCATTCCTCAACTGGCACACGCTGTTTCCACTCTGTTGAGATGCAACTCTGTGTGATAATCCTCATTCCAAGCTGTCGTCATGCCTGCAGAGAAAACAATATAGTGCAGGACAGAGAGCTTGTGGTAACTGTAGCATAGTGGTATTATTTCATTGATATGTTTTTCCATCTTTTCGTTACATAAATCTCTGTTGTTTATCTTCTCAGGCAATGTTATCGGCACGGTTTGTGCTGTATCCGTTTCGCTTACATTTGAGCGCTCATTCCCTTTCATTAAACGTGTAGTGCAACATGCTCCATCACATTGTTTTGGGGCGGAAAATGTTGACATTGAGGAGTGGGGGAATTTAAGGCTGACTTGGGGTCAGTTTCAATTGGCAAGCATCAGCTGGTTGGCAAATGTCACAGAAAGTGCCTCAGGTCAGCTGTGTGGACCTTGTTTCCCAGGATCTGAAACGGCTGTTTGAAACGATGCCACAGTTTGGCACAAGAGTATGGTTTATTGTCACAATGATGGATAACTTTAGATAATGTTCACTCGCTGCATTAGGAAGCTCTGCAACGCTGAAGTAAGTCCATTTCAATTTGAAGTTTCCGTTGATGCAACAAATTAACTTAACTTTTCAAAGAAGGTAGAACACTACTGTTGGCAACTAAAGGTTGGCAAGAAAGAGAAAAAGATAAAATCAATAAAAAGTCCTTAAGTGCAAATGACAGCTAAAAGGAAACCATGGTGCTTTTAGATTTCAAAGGTTGCACACCCCTCTGTTCCTCTTTCAGTCTTGTTTTTGTATAAAGTATAATTTGACATATTCGGCTACTTTCAGCATTTTGAAAAGTGGTGATGCTGCTGTTATATCAACCGACGTAAAAAAAGGACTTTGTGATTAGCAGGTAGGAGTCTGAGCTGCATGTTTATGATCCTGTGACTTGTCACATGTTATCTCCTTTTCCCACTCGTCTATTTTTCTGGCTGCTCTCCACAATACAGATACCAAAATAAACAGCAGCATAGAGACAGCAGTAATGCCAACATAATAAAGGACAAACCTATTCTACATGTTTACTGATAAAACTTTCCCCTTTTTTTTTTCCACTGTGTTTATACATTGTGAGCTCTACTCCAAAAAAACAATACAAACAAAGGCCTACCTTGGTGAACTTGGGGAATAATCGTCCCCAAATCTAGATGGGATTCTGGCTCACTGGACCATATACAGTATGTCCCTTTCTAGTGGGTTGCAAGATGGAATTTGAAACCAAGCTGCCAATACACTGTATGCTTGCAAGATCACAGTTGTGCTCAGACTCTGTCAGGTTGAGTTAAACTTGTACGACTCAATACTAATAATGCCAACAAAAATAAAGATGTAGAGTGAAACGGTAGAAACCCAGGGACGTCTGTACGGGTCGAAGCACAGGTGATGTTGCTATAAAAATACATTTTACAAAGACAAATTAAGCAAATGAATTGTGAGTGCCTTCATGATAGGCCTGAAGGAATCAAGGTCATTTATACAATACATTGGTTTAAATTAACTATGTAATGAAAAATAATCAATGTATCCATTTAACAGCCACCAAGACCCAATTCCCAGCTTAGTCAAAGCAGTACGATGTGATTTCATAATGTACAGATCTATTTTATAGCTGCTATATATAGTTGCAAAACTATTAAAGGAAATAGATATGTCAGAGAGTTCCACCACATTTCCCTCCTTTCCATTATGACAAATATAATAAAAGAACATCATTATTATAAAAAAATAAAATAATTTGGAATCTCAGTACCTGAGAATAATAAAAAACACAATCAGTCGACTCTGAACAATTAAGCCTTGCTGTTACTGTATCCTTATGTAGAAAATAGCCTCAGCTATGGATTTTGACAAATCAGAGCTCTGTTAGCAAGTGCAGCACTACGGCAAAAAAACAACAACAAAAAACCAGACCACTGTTTTTGTCGCTGACATTTTTGTTGGCTGCAGGTGAAGAACAGCAAGTAGGAAGTTGGAGCATATCCATAGCATCTGTTAAAATGGCTTGCCAAATCAAAACTGTAAGCAATTATTTTACTGCTGCTGAAACTTTTGCACATTTGTTAAAAAAACACTTTCGGGTTCTACCTATATGGTAACATGTGCTGTCTGTCAGCCTTTTGACGAGCAAGCAAAGGATGAAAGTGAGAGTGGAAAGTTTGTTTTAACTGAGTGAGCAGCAGAGAATCACACACTGGATGTAAGCCTGCGGTGACAGAAGTGCTAATATATTAAAGAGGGTACAAGGCTCACGTCAGGTTCTTCATATACAGATGAGAAAAGCCTGCATCCACTTAGATGTTAAACAACACAGCTGTATCTTAAACATTAGATCTGGCACATACACCCACATTCATGATTCATTATGCGCCGAACCTAATCACAAATTCATGGATCAGCACACGCTAAGACAGACCAGCATACACATATACATAAAATATTATTTACTCACAGGTTTATCTTTGACTTATGAGCAAATATTTATGCAACCACTGTGAAAAAAAAACGTGGATTAAGGCCTTCGCTCATGTATTTAGTTTTCTAATGTACCACTCTGTCCTTGCAGCTGTCTCGACTGCAGATGTCAGAGAAGCACCGTACACATCTTTCCCTTTCAGAACAAGCTGATCAGAGATTTAAATGTATGTAATTACAGAAGGCAAGCTAATTAGGATAAATGCTAATCTTCTTCAGGGATTTTACAGTGAAACGTTCTGGCATTAGCTTAAATGTTTCCTAATCAAAAGGAAGTGAGGCATAAGAAATATTGTGCAGCTTACAAATGCAATCACACATTGGTTGTTTTGTTCAGTTTCTTTGATGCACAGATGTGTTTGGCTCCTCTGGATCACAATCTTCATGGACTGCGAAACCTGATTGAAGCGTAGCATTGTAATTAGGTGAAATTGCTGACTACAGTTTCAGAGAATGCTTGCACAGGCCGGCTCACTGCTGATGAACGGCTGGAGAAAAAAACGGCAAGACAAAGCCCGTTTGACACATGCAATCAGCCACAAAGACGCAGCTCCTTTCACAGAAGAAGAAAGATCCC